AGGGTAAACTTCTATCATTGTCCATTTAAGGTGTATATAAGGGTAAACTTCTATAATTGTCCATTTAAGGTGTATATTAGGGTAAACTTCTATAATTGTCCATTTAAGGTGTATATAAGGCTAAACTTCTATAATTTTCCATTTAAGGTGTATATCAGGGTAAACTTCTATCATTGTCCATTTAAGGTGTATATAAGGGTAAACTTCTATAATTGTCCATTCACAGAATCTTTTCATTCACCACTTCCACTTGATATGTCTCTAAATCAGTGTCCTCTACTATGTTGAACAACAGGAATGGTGAGATGACCTACAATTCCTTTCTGTACCATTTACTGTAAACGCCATTCCATCTTGCCAATCTCTCTGATTGTGATGCCTTAAACTTCCAGCGGAAACTGGTGTGTAGATCACCTAAAATGGGAAATATGTGTATTTTGATAAAGGTCAGCTTTTGCAGTAGAGTTGTTTACAGAGTTGAATTAAAATTGAACAAAAAGAGTACGTAGTTGAATATTAATTCCCATCAAATACAATTGAAATCTATAGGTACAGGGTTCTTATTTATTTGTTTAATATTATGAAAACGTAGCTTAATATCTGCAATAAAAAATGAAAGAAGAAAAAAAGAAATAGTATAGCAACACACTGAACAATGAATATAACAAATATTGGAAGAGTAAACCATATCTGTTTTTTTCCTTCGACAGTAATGTTTACCGCAAAAATAAATCCAGGCCTGAACTGATTTTAAGCACTGGATGTCTATTCAATTGTACAATGCACAGGTTCCTGAAGTTCTTTCAAAAAATAATAATAACAGTAATACAAAAAAAAAATGTTTACAAAATAGACATAGATATCTTTGTGTTATTGTTATTATTAGTTTTTGACAGAACATAGGTTCCTGTGTTCTATGTGACGAAATGTAGCTGCATATTTGCAATCAAACTAGAAATGTATACAGCAATACGTCGTACTCCAACAGTGTTAGAGGTTGACACGGCGAGATACTTTTGACAGGCGCCGTGTAACCTCTAACCACAGGCGCTTGTATCTGGTATTTAATACTTGAGCTAAAATCCAAAATCCACTACTTACATATATATAAGAAGTGGATTTTGAGTTTTAGCTCATGTAATACCAGATACAAGCGCCTGTGCTCTAACTGCCCATAGCTGATTTTCCCGATGCTGACTATCACATTTGCAAAGTTCGGATTTAAATAAAGTGTATCGTGTTTTCATACAGGGTCCAATGAATATTCCGTTCCGTAAATCCATGATTAAATGAGAAGAATATCGTGTCAAAGACATAAATAAGAAGTTTTTCCTCTTTTGAAAGGAAACAGACTACATGTGCCGTGATTTCCGGTTAGTACAAAAATGGATTACATGTAATGTTTTACAAACGCAATACAAACAGATAGCGTTTCTTTTCGTTTTGTTTGAAAGTCCCTATTATATACGAGATCCGTGCAGCAAAGCTGTACTGCTTCTGTTTTGTTTTCCCTTTCAAACACGTTTGACTGTCCACTCATCAGTAGGTTCGAAGTACATTTAGTGTAAACACGAGTTTCATCCCTTGTACTGTGTTGAAATCGCTAGCCCGCGAAGACATCCATTGGACTGTTTTGAAATCGCTACCCGCGAAGGAAAGTAAATATCAAAATAAGAACATTTCAAACTTTTTTCATAGAAAAATTCTTTTGAATATAAAACTGTTCTATGCTACCGTTTTTTCATAAGATGTTCCTATCGTCAACAATGTCAGGGTTCACGGACATGAAGCACCGATCAAAACTGGAGTTGATGTCGGTGAGGATTTTTGTCATAAGCTTACAGTATACAATAATAATGCCTAATAATCTATACAGAAATCAAAAATAACTTACCCCAGTATATTTTTAATGTCACCAAATAGTCATGAATAAAATACTTACAGTTACAATTTAGATGTTGTCAGAAGGTTTCTTTCTGGGTCACATAGAAGCCAAAAGGTCAAATATCTTTGCGTTCGTAAATCCGATAGAAAATTTCATTAATGAATTGGGCTTCCAACATTTTGACCAATCAGGGCAAAGTATTTTCAATTCATCAATGGGATTAACGCCACTATTGCTCGCCAGGTGGCATCGTACATTTTGTCAGCTACATAGTAAAGGTGATGAAAATGACTCAAACTCTCGTTTGTCAAAAATCGAGAGGCCATCGCATTGTTCTTACGACAAAACCTGAAAACACTGAGTGATAACTGTTTATCTCACCGATCATAAAACAGTCAACTAAATACTATATACTCCAAACGACTCATAGGCCTACTGATCATTTATATCCTCCGTCAGTGACAGGTATAAACAAATACTACTTTTGCTCGGAGGAATACCATTAACCATTAAACTATGTAAAGAGATATTTTAAAGCAATATTCCATATGAAAATTTACGTTTAAAGGGGTGTTGTTATCTTCACAATATTTTTCTAATATTGTTATAATGATTTGTTTCTGACTATTTCTCAAGCGGAATACCTTTGTGTGGATACTATTTCCGGTTCATGACGTCACCTGGTGAGCAGACGTTCCATTTCGAGGAAAAACTTTCTCAAATAATAAATTTCATCCTGAAGTTGTTTTCAGATCAAGTCTTGATAATGGATTTGCCATGCTGTTTGTAGGTGGTATAAAGTAGTATATAGCTGATAATGTGTCAGAACATTTACTTTTTTAATACCTACACTATTATTTGTTTCAGTTGGTATTTGACTTACTGAACATTGCTATTTATTTTTTTCCCTGTAAATGAGCAGCATGCTATTTATTATCTAGTCCCAACGTGGAAAGAAAACATAACAAATATAATAAAACACCAAACTTTAATAACACTAAACATTGATTAAAATATTGTTATCAATTATACAGTCTAGTGCGATCTAACACTGCAAATCATTTCCTTTAAATCAGATTAGCATAGACATCAATGATGAATTCAAAAACCTAATCAAAACTATTTCTGCAACGAAAAAACCCCCATGACTGACCGCAGCATTTTCCTGGAAACAATTTCTTCCAAAAACAAAACAAAAAAATAACTGTTCATTTACCTTGCTGACTATGAAAGAATATTGCAACCCTTTCACTTTTTATAATTTCATCTGAAAGATTTATAAAATATAATACTGTGATTTTCAGATAATATCAAAAATAAAATAATGCAAATGATCATAATTACATCACATAACAAGACGATGTTAAAATTTCACATCAGGCATTTATTTTTGTGAAATGTTACCCTTTTACAATTACATATGTATGAAGCTTTATTGAAAACTCATTTCTCGTCATCAAAATGAACT